AGTGGAGGTGGGGTAGGGGGGGGTGTGGTTGTGTGGGCCGTGGGGTGTGGGTTGTGGGGGGCTGGGCTGATCTTGTAGCGGGTTGGGTGGGGATGATGCGGCAAGTTCCAAGGTACGTAGCCATCATACGGGTGTCGTTGCGAACCAGAGTTTCTTCCTCATCCACGTCCACGGCCGCCTCCACCGCGACCGGAGTTGCGCCCCTGCTGCCCGCGACCGCCGCCGCTGCCGCCGTTGTGCCCACTGCCGGGCGTCCCACCGCTGCGCCCGAAACCGCCGCTGCTGCCGCCGTATGGTGAGCTGCCGGTTCGGCCAGCCATGAGCGCCGTGCCGGCGTCGTCCATGACGGTTTGTCCTTGCCGTTCAAGGAGCAGGAGAGCGGATCGGGTCTGAAGGAACGTGGGCAGCGGTTGTTGGAATTGCAAGAACGATGTCTGAGCCTGGAGATCGTCGGGTAGCCCACGAAGCATTTGAAGCACAAGTTGAGACTCAGAGACTGGGGCGTCAACATCATCCAACCAATCGGCAATGTTTCGCAAAGTTTGACAGTAAGTGGCCATGGTCATCGAACCCTTGATGGTGGTTCGAAACTGGTGCTCGAGTTGCATCGCCCGAGCATGTTTGTTGTCATGAAAGAGAGCATGAATAATCCGCCAGAGTTCAGCAGCGGTGGTGGTGGTGGAGATAACCAGATCTGAGACTTCATCCGTGATGGTAGAGAGAATCCAACCTTGGATCAGGGCGTCAAGCTGGTACCATTCATCATCATCGGCAGAAGGAGTGGTAGAACATGAGAGAAACCCGTGGAGGGTGAATCGGCGCACCAGGAGGAGAAAGAGCCGGCTCCATTTTTTGTAGTTGGGCTGAGAAAAGCTGAGCTGAATCAGGACATAAAGCTTGACGTTGAAGATTGTTGTGAAGGCAAGATGAGGAGCATTCGAGGAGGAGGAAGAGGTTGAGTTTTCTGAGGGTTTATCAGAGGAAGCCATATTGAGAGGGGAGGGCGCTGTCGTCGCCGAGGAAGAGAGGGGCTGTGCTGCGCTGCTACTGCCGCCGAGGAGAGGAGGACGGCGGGTGGTGTGCGGCGCTGGAGAAAGCACGCCGAGAGGGAGGGAGAGAGCACGGGTAGGGTTAGGGTTTTTGGGTTGAGAGATTATGGCTCTGATACCATGAAGAATTATGAATTTCCTTAAACAATAATGTGGGAGTACATGTGTTTATATACACAAGCTATTCCTAATCCTAATCATGGTAGGATTCTACAATAGGAAACAATATACATACAATAAATATAGAATATATATTTAACATAAATATAGAATATATTTAACAGTATGTATGTATGTACGTATGTATGTATGTATGTATCTAACATGCTTCTATGTATGTATATGTGTGTGTGTGTGTGTCTTTCATTTGTTTCATCTATCCTCGTATGTACGTAATTAACTAGGCCATGTGTAGAAACATTATTAAAACTGAACTTGATGGTTTTCTTGAACATAAATATGCTGCACTATATATTATAGCTACAAGACCATAGCCTAATAACTATAAGCCCAATACTAACAAGTCCAATAACACAAAATCATAATACATTCTAATACTTCCCCTCAAATTGAGAATGAGGATCACGAATGAACAACTTGGATAATAAAAATAAATAAAATTATAGAAAAAACAAACTAGACTTGATTTGCTGCTGCAACGTACGAAGACATCTGGCCAAGCAAACGAACAACCAAAAATTGAGGACGATGACTCCCATGTGAGACGACTAACAAATAGACACAATGTTGTTGGACTCAGGTTTGACGACCGACCCCACAAACTGACATGTCGTACATACGACAAGTTGCGATGGAACATACCAAACAAGTTAAAAATCAAATACTATATCATCAAAACATCATCAAAACAGACTCTGTTTGAACATGAAAGCTTTCTTCCTTGTAGCACAAACAAAGCAAAACTAAACAAACAAGAACAAGAAATTGTTGAAGCACATCAACCACCGATAAAAGACAACCCACCAATCAATTCTGGCACAAATAGCAAGCACATGGGGACCAAATTAAACTTCAAAGTTCAAATGACGAACGACAAGAAACAACATGAATCAAGACACCAGTGCAAAAAAGATGCTCTCACCTGTTCTAGAAGACGTCCAACGTTCAACGCATGTCGCTCGGGACGCCCAACACTTACTGCGGACAAACAGATCTAGGACGACAACAAAATAATGACAAAACCCAATTAGAAAAAGGCACTCCACAAATTACAAAATAGTGCACGCCGACCGAAATAGCAAACACCAAATTTGCTAATTCAATAATTGTGTAGAACGACGATTAGTGACAAAAGAAAGCGACAAACCAAGACGCTCTTCAACTACCTGAAAATAGAACAAATCAGAAGCACCGAATGTAGGGAAAACACAGAAAAGGAAAGATGATGTCGCCACCACCGAGAACAAACCAGGGCATCGGTGGAAGAGGCAAACAAGGCGAGTGTAACACCCTTATCCGTCCAGGTCTGTAGCCCCTTTCTGACTAAAGTATTAATCTGGTAATCGTAATAATTGAAAATTTTTCAAACACTTTTATTTATCACAATAATATTTTTCATAACAGATACAGTTCGGAGAACTCAACAATATTGTGGAAGCGAATTTAATATTGACATATCATAAATCATTTCAAAACTTGTCACATCCATCCCGACAATATCGCCCCATCTGCCGCCTAAATCACATTGTTCTTTCTGTTTACCTACGTGTAGCAAATAAAACACACTACACGCTCAGCGCTAAAGCTGAGTAAGCATATCTAATGCGTGGAACATTCATATAAACTGAATCTAAATTCATAATCAAATCATTTGATATCATGCACACAATGTTCATTTCAGACATTCACAGTTTTGATATTGTTCGATCAGTTCATATCAACACATTTTATTCAATTAGGATATTATGGTACAGATAGTTAATTAGAATATTTTAATTAGTTATATTATTATTTAGTAGTTAATTATTATTATTTATCAATATTTTAATTTATAGATTAGGGTTTTTGTATGGACTTGAGCCCATTAGGTCATGTAGGTGTGGCGTCTCATCTCTATATATTGTAATCCTGTTTTATTATCATTCAATCAATCAATAATTAAGAATTATTTTAAACTCTCGTTTCTCTTTTCTTGGAGCCCGGAAACGCTCGAAGTTTTCCTTCTCTCTTTGCCTCGCCTTTCTTAGAGTCCGAAGACGCTCGAAGTTCTTCCCTATCCGATACGATATTCGTATCATATTATTTCGACAGTGCTCTTAATAAATTATTCTTAATATAAGGCCGAATAATAACAACGTTCTTAGCTATTCTTAGTCTAAGGCTAAATCATAACAATGCTCTTAGCTATTCTTAGTCTAAGGCCAGATCATAACAATTCTCTTACCTATTCTTAGTCTAAGGCCAGATCATAAATTTCATAACCAGACTCTTAAACTGTGGTTAGTTTAAGGGCATTAGCCAGACTCTTAACTCTAGTCAATTAAGGCAACAACAATATATCGATTGATCAACGTTGGATCGGGGCATTCCCAAATGAGTGATTCTCTAATTTGGTCTACGTTGGATCGGGGCATTCCATTATTACATTTTTATCCAATCACCAAATATTCATGTCTCACAATTCCATACTAATATGATATTTATTATAGAGGTCTTCTAGATAGTCTTAACATCAATTATCTAAATGGGTATATCTTAGAGTTCTTTTAGATACCCTTAACATATACGTCATTTCATAATTATCAATGTATTCATTTTACTCGTGGTTCAATCATCCATAATCATTTTAACCAGTAAGTTCATTATTCATAATCATCTATAATAAACATTCACCATAATCATCCATCAACATAACAACCGATAACAAATAGCGGTCTAGTTTTGAGTGTTAACGCCCAAACTTACCGTCATGCATCACATGACATTATTATTTCTTAAAAACATCATTCTTATTGTTAAAAATCATATTTATAATGATCATAATCAATTGGTATCAAAAAGAGGATTTTAGAGCTCAAAAATAGCATTTTCGGATTAGAATTTTAGGGGATTGATCCAGCCCTCTGGATCAATCCAAACTAGAAGAAACACTCCTAGTGGATTGATCCAGACCATATGATCGATCCAGGTAGTGAGTTTTGGGTCATTGTTCATCTTCTTCAACCTTCGTTCCATTTTTTGGAAATACCATTTTTAGTTACTGAACTTCAACGAAACTATATAGCGATATTCTCCAAGGTTCATAGATCATTTTGGAATCATTAGTTCATAGTTTTAACATCAATTTCATGGTTTATGATTCTTGATTCTTCAAGCGTGTCAAACACAAAACTCAACCAAACGACCATTTATGAACGTAAAAACGATCTATATAATACGAACATTCTAGTCGCAAGATATATCTACATGCTTACCTCGAAGCTTAACGAAGATTTTGGAAATTTTCTAGTGAAACTTCCGGTGAGGTTTGTGGCTAGCTCCGGCGACCTCCAACTCTCTGGACAGCACCACTTTACTCTCCACGTACACTCTCAGGGACAAAATGAAAGAAGAAATAGAGAGAATGATGAAGAAATGGGAGAATTGGGTTCTTTATATATAAGAGGAGAAGAGAAGAAGACAGGGAAGATGAGCTACTGCTGCGTAGGATTCCTAATTCACGTTCTTCATTCAGCGGAGATGTGATTTTTAGGCGATTCAGCAGGTTACTTCCCTGATTGTGACTAATTTGGTCCCAGTCGGGGTACACTTTTTGGCCCAACTTTCTCCGAATTGAATTCTGTTTGCACCGTTACGATCAATCAATTAATCTCTATCCAACGATATAATTTTTATATTTATTCATTATACTTTTCCGACATCATATTTTTGGGTGTTTGACTTTGACATAGTCAAAATTCATTTAGTTGACCTTTATTTAAAAAGGTTCCCACATTTAATTCATATCATTTGTTCTTATTATTTATTTAAATAAATCATTTCAAAGTTCACATCATAAAGAATTTCTTCATCCACTTTTAATTTGGGTCTGTACTCAAGTTCCTAATCAAAGTTACACAATAAGTCAACATATTGGATTTATCCTTATGAGATATTCCAGATTGTGATAATGGATATCAAAACATACTTTGTATCGGCTCAAAGCCCAACAACAATTTATTTTAATCAAAACAAATTTGATTAATCGAATAATTATTTATTAATAATTCTAGGATATATTTTGGCGTTACAGCGAGCAACTTTTTTTAGGGTTAGTTTAGGCTTCACAAGTTGGCTCCGATACCATGTAGAAATATTATTAGAACTAAAATTGATGATTTTATTGAACATAAACATGCTACAAGACCACGACCTAACTACGGACCCAATACTAACAAGCCCAAAAACACAAAACCCTAATACATTCTAATACATGCATTGTGCTTAAATATACATGCATACGATCGAGTATATATCAGTGTGCTTGTAATCCTTTAATTTATTTATGTGTATGGTGTACTCCATCCAGCTCCAAATTAATTAATATGAAAAGTGTATGATTGTAGTTTATATATAAAAAATAAAAATTTCTACATCACTAAAAATAATTTGCCAAAAATTTCATTTTTTTCAATACGAGAGTTATTTTTGAATAGATAGAAAATTAAAAAATAATTAGAAATCACCATAAATAGGTGTAAAACATAGCATTTATCCTCAAAATAAGAATTCTATGTTTTTCCTCAAAATATGAGTTTCCAATGTGACATAATGACATTGTATAGTGGTATCTCATGGTATTTTTTGGTACTATAAACACATAGCTCCTATGTTGTTAAAACATGATAATAACTTCCAAATTTTTTAATTTCTATCTATTTCGAACTGATTCTTATATTTAAAAAATGAAATTTTTGGTAAACTATTTTCTATAGTCTACAAATTTTGACTTTTTGTAAATAAACGAGAACCATTTCTCTAGCTGCATCAACGTCAAACAACGACAACAACGTTGATGATGATGATGATAGCAACGACTAGTAGATAAATGTGCAACTCTAGAGGGGGGTGAATAGAGTTGTTTGTCCCTTGGTTACTCCTGCGTTGAACATTCTAGATGTCATTTGATCTTTTAGTTCCTAAAAAATTAGATGTATTCGAAGAGCTTCCTGCTCTGATACTAATTGTTAGACAAATGTACAACTCTAGAGAGGGTGAATAGAGTTGTTTACTAAATAGATAATACATATATCCATTTCCTATTCAATTGAGATAGATAATAATAACAATAATAATAGTAACAATATGTATCTTTCCAAAAAATATAGTAATAATATGTAAAAAAATTAGAGAACTGTAGGTTCATGACCCATTGTAATCAGATTTGGATCGACCCAACATGTTATGGCTTTGGTTTTTAAAATTTTTAAATTCATCGTAACACATGCATTTCGCATTAAATAAAATTAAATATCCAAAAATATGTATTACATATAGTATGTTATTTTATTTTAAATTCTAAAGTAATTTTAAGTATATAAATCAATATCAAAATTTAAAAATACATAATTTTTGGAAAAAGTAAGATAATTATGCAATATTATTAAAATCTTGTTAGAAATTATAATTTTATACACTAAAAATGAGTATGTAGTAAGAAAAATATAATTATAACCTTATTTTTATAATACTATATTTCATAGTAAATTATATGATTTTAAAAAGCTCTTAAATTAGCAGGTCGGGTTGGGGTTCGACCAACAAAACCTTTAATTTGTTCAAAACCATATATTTCCTGGTCGGGTATTGGTTCGAAAATAGGTCGAGTCATTTTTTGCAAGGTCTATGTAAAATATACTTCATCCGTTCAAAAATTTCTTTCTTGGGTTGACTTGTTAGGAAGATTAAGAAAAGTTAAAAAAATGTAAAGAATTTTGACCTTGATGATGTGATGAAATAAAGTGAATAAAATAGAAGAAAAGTATTGATATAATGGCTCATTCATTAATATATTTTTTTCAAAAATAGGAAACAAGATATAAATTTTTGAACAGCCCAAAAAGGAAAGTAAGAAAAAAATTTACGGACAAAGGGAGTATACTATCCTATCCTATATATCATATCCTATACCCTATCCTCTATATATATATATATATATAAAGTTGGGGCCGGTTACTTTCTTGGAGTGTTGACATGTGGCATGCCACATGTGCATTCCTTAATGAGTTGGATGAATTTCATTGGTCAATTTAATTGTTTAAAAAGATCTTTTACCATATTTTATTCTATTACATTAAATAAATATTATATTTTCACATTATAAAACATTACTTTAATTATATTTTGTATAAAAAAATATCATTTTAAAATAATTTTATAAACAAATATTTCATCAATGTAAAATATACTCCGCATATATACACACACACACACACACACACACACATACATAGATACATACATACATATATATTGCCATATATACATTCTCTAATGATGTATCATTATTTAATTAGTCCATTTTTTATTATAATATTTTATTAATTAAAACCATTTTCATTAGTTCTTCATTCAATAATGGCCATTAGTTGTGTATAAAAATTTTGTTTTTAAATAAACATGCCAAAATATATTCCCCCAATTTAAAACATATTTTGTTTACATAATTAAATTATATCTATTAAATATTTTTCAAGCTTATCAATGTTTTAAAAAATAATGTTTTCTATGAGTTTAAAAACAATAAATCATTTCTCTTTTACTACTTTTAAAGAAAATACTTATAGAATCTTTAGTAAATGTACATCTATATTTGAATTATATTATTTGAAAAAGATATATCTTAGAGTTAAAAAAATATTCATCTAACACATTATATGTCACTATTTGAAAACTAAAATAAATAAAATTATGTTTATAGAATGTCAAAAATTTAGAATGTATACGAGTCGTGTGAAGTACGGGGTTAACACTAGTCTTAGTCTTAATACGTAGAGAGTAGTCTTTCAAGTCGTTGAAAGTAATAAGAAAAAGTTTAAAAAAATTGGAATAAGTTAAAAGAAACACTAAGAAGTTGAAAGAAACTCGAATAAGTTTGAAAATGTTCGAAGTTAATACTTCATCTGTCCCACAAAGTTCTTCTTGTTTTAATTTTTAGGAAATTTAACGAGGAAATATTTTGGTGTTGACTTTCATAGATTATTAGAGAATGTGTATGATATGATAGCTAGGTATAGTATGATAAGAATTAATATGCGATACATTTGATAATGATTTATTTTATTTAATAACTAAAGATACATCCCTATATATAGAAGTGGTTCTATGGTGGACCTAAGGTCCACATAGACCTTCTCACACCTTTTTTTTTAATTTTAGAAATGCTTATTTGAACACTTGAGAATGCTTATTTATCATATTTGAAGATCCACCACGGACTTTACATGCATGTAATAATTTGCTTATATATAGAGATCACAAGAGAAAATTCTAATCATAGTTGGAGAATCACAAGAGAAAATTCTAATCATAGTTGGAGAAGAACTATGACAATACAACAATAAGAAAATAATATAATAAGGAATGTAATTATTAATTAAAATATTTGTTTCTTATTACATATTACTCCCTCCGTTCCTAAATAAACGTCTCTTTTTGACTTTTTGAGGATTTAAGGGAGGGATATTTTTGTGTTGACTTTCCAAAAATTGTTGGGTATTTGGGTTAGTTACTCAGTGGGAGAGCTAGAGTTAGTGTTTATTTTGTTTATTCTTTGGTGGCCTTATCCTTGTGACAAAAACAAATAAGTAGGAATGTTTGTATTTATTATGTAATAGCTGATTGAGTGTATGTAGAGTCCTGCCATGTCATGCATGTGGTTTTCTTCTACGAGCTGGAGAAGATTTCCTGGAGCGGGATTCCCACGAAGCTGAAATAGAGACCCACGCAGTCTAGGAATGGGAGTTGCCGAAGAGTTCAAGCGTGGTTGTAACTAGGGTTCTCATATGTCCATATATATATACATGATCTCACGTTGATGAAGTGTGAGAGAGAGAGAGATCACAAATTCCAGGAATAGATTGAGAGAGCCAAAAACCCTAGCTACAAAAAGGAGATCAGAAGGGAACCATGCTTGGGTCCTTCTGATATACGGTGTTGTGGTGAGCACAAGGAGTTCGTGACCTGTTCACAGTTCGTATCATAAATTCAGATTCGGTTTTGATGAAAACCGCATCCAGCTGGTGAACTAGGAAGGGCTGGAGAAAGGGCTGATAGCACGTCCAATAACAGAAGTTATCAAGGTTGGTGTAATATGCCATTGGGAGAAACACTAACAGAGTTATGTGTTTAAGTCATCTGTAGTAGATTAGTTCAATCCACTAACCGGTACCTATAGTGGTTGAAGTTGTAATCTTTGCAGTGATTTAGTGGAAGGGCTATTACACGGACGTGGGCCCCGCAGAGTAGGAGAATTGCTCTGAACTACGTAAACAATTCTTGTGTTTGGTTTACTGCTTTATATCTTTTAAGTTTTGTGCGACTGGTTGTGACAGAGAAAGTGTTTCAGCACTTTGTGTGTCTCAGCAAACTAAGCGTGTGTGTGATTGGCTTAAATTGTTCGTAGAGAGTAATTCTTTTGAGGTTGTGAATCTCTACAACAATTTCATTTGGTATCAGAGCTGGTTAAGCTTAAGTTACTAGCTTGATCAATCATGGGGGACATGGAGGAAGGTGCAAATGTTCAACGACCACCATTGTTACGTGGGCCAAATTACAATTTCTGGAAGGGGCGCATGAGAGCTTTCTTAAAGTCTCAAGGTGGAAGAGTTTGGAGAAGTATAGAAACCGGGTGGACTGAACCCACAAAGACCAACGTGGAAGGAGAAAAGGTTGCTAAAACCTTCGAAAAATACTCAAAGGAAGAAGCATCTCTGACTGAATGCAATGACAGAGCACTCAATGCACTTTTTGGAGCTGTTGACAGCTCACAGTATCGCCTGATTTCAAACTATACTGAAGCAAAGAAAGCTTGGGAGATTCTTGAAACAACTCATGAAGGGGATGAACGCGTAAAAACTGCTAAACTACAAATCCTCATGACTAAATATGAGAATCTGCGCATGGACGATAAAGAAAGGATAGCTGAATTCCATGGGAGAGTAAGAGAACTTGCAAATGAGGCTGAAAATCTGAAAAGGCCCTTCACTGAAGACAGCCTAGTGCTGAAGGTACTGAGAGCTCTACCAAAAAGCTATGCAATGGATGCTAAAGCAATTCGTCAAGCACATGACATAAAGAATATGACACTTGATCAACTGATGGGAAATCTTGAGACCATTGAGCTTCAAATGAACGAAGAAATTAGATAGAAGAAGAGTGTCAAACAGATTGCATTCCACAGCCACACTACTGAAGAGGAGGAAGATGATGAAGACCCATCAGATGGAGATTATCAAGAACAGTTATCGTCCCTCATCACCAAGCAGTTCAAGAAGAAATGGATGCAGAAGAAAGGAAGAACAAATTATCAAGCTGAATCCTCAAAGGGATTTCAATTTAGAAATCCAAGGCCAAAGGAGAGCAGGGCGCCAACTGATGACTCAAAACGAAGAGGACCTCAATGTTTTGAATGTGGGGGATTTGGGCATATTCAATCAGAGTGTGCAAATAATCTCAAAAAGAAACGACAAGCTTTTGTGTCAACCTGGAGCGATGAAGAAGATGACTCTGAAGAAGTTCTAGGGAACCGCAACTGTGCATTCACCACTCAAATCCATGACGATGATCCAGACAACCTCATCAACAAACTGGTGGTGCTTCAGGAAGAGGTGGACAGTCATCGCAGAAAGCTTGATGAAACCATACAGCAATTGGAACAGGTTGAAGGAGAAAAGGCAAATCTAAAGTATGAGCTCACTCAACTGAAAAACTATCAAAAGTGGATGAAGAGCGCAGGTGCAGAACAGATTGAGAATCTTGTAGACAAGTCAAGGTTTTATGGAGACAGAACTGGCATTGGACACACTCTACCAGAAAGCAGTAAAACACCTCTTGATTTGTTCATAACAAGGTCAAAGATTGATGATGAAGAACTGAAAGAATACAGAAGAGACAAGAAGGAAGCAGTCCAGCCTACTCACATTCATGTAAGAAAACGCTCTCCCTCTAACTATTACTGGAATCATATTTGTTTCTACTGCAGGAAAAAGGGACACATTAAAAGACAGTGCCACCAGCTGAAGTACAAAAGAAGGAAGAAGGGTACGGCAAAGGTTTCACCAGAACTGTAATGAGTGGATACCAAAACACTTGGCCTCAAGCGCTAACTCATGCCTTCGAGTCACAATAGATCAGTGGTTGCTTGATAGTGGGTGTTCTCATCACATGACTGGAGACAAACAAAACTTATCAAACATCCAATCCATAGAAGGAGGAAACGTACGTTTTGGTGGTGGTGCACATGGACAGACCATTAGGAATGGAACACTGCATGTCTCAGGACTACCACCCATTAAAAATGTATGGTTGGTTCAAGGACTAGAGGTAAATCTGCTAAGCATCAGTCAAATCTGTGACCAAGGACTTGAAGTGGTATTCACTCAACAAAAGGGTCGTATCAAGGACAGAAACAAATTTGTTGTCTTGGAAGGTGACAGAACCACAGACAACTGCTACAGAGTCACTCCAAACATACTCTGTTACACATCCAGTGAAAGGGATGCCAAGTTGTGGCACTACAGGCTAGGGCATATGAACTACAAGGACCTCAAGACCTTGTCAGGATCTGGAGCAGTTCGAGGAATGCCCAAAATCACTCAAGTCAATGAGCAAGTATGTGGACCATGTCAAATGGGGAAACAAACACGAGCAAGTCATCCTAAAAAACCTACGAGGTCAACAAATCGTCCATTGGAGCTCATGCATATTGATCTATTCGGCCCCATGCAAACTGAAAGCCTAGGCGGAAAAAGGTTTGTCCTCATGGTCGTGGACGATTTCACCAGGTACACGTGGGTCAGTTTTCTAAAACATAAAGATGATGCACTAGATGCCGTTGAAGCCCTATGCAACAAAGTCCAAAATGAGAAACAACTGAAGATTAAAAAGGTCATCAGAGTACGTAGTGACCATGGAGGAGAGTTTGACAATGGAGTTTTCGAAGAATTTTGTGATCTGCATGGCATCTGGCATGAATTCTCAGCACCAAAAACCCCACAACAAAACGGAGTGGCAGAAAGAAAAAACTGACATGTTCAAGAAATGGCACGCACGATGATCAGCTCATATGGACTTCCTCAAAATTTGTGGGCTGATGATCAAAAATTGAAGAAGCCACAGAGCACGAAGAAGCTCAAGGAGCACAAGAAGACGGAGGGCCACCAAGAGAAGAACAGGATGAAGCACAACTCAGTCCAGATCTTCCCACTGTTATGCTGTTGGAATACAAACCGTCAGTAACCATCAAAGAACAGCCCCAGGTTGCAGACGCAGATGAAGAGTTTCAAAACTTGATGGATGAAGAACCACTGGTAGCAGTCTCAGAAGTGCCATTCAAGAAGACTGACAATCAGCCCAAGAAGAAGTCCAAATAGTCTGGGCAAAATCCTGTTCGCTGGTCAAAACGCAAAACTAGATCAGAAGCAATCATGTGCGAGGAACCTTCCCCATCACCCAAGAAGACCAGAACCAACACTACGAGCTCACCAACCGGTTCAAAGCCCACAAAGAATCAAGATCTGAAGCATCACTCAGGGAAGTCCTCTAACACTACTTTTATCTCCTCCACTGCTAAATCTTACTTTCCTGCAATCGTGAAGAAGCATATCTTGCCTCAACGAAACATTGACCTGGAAGATTTTGCTCTGAAAACCACACTTATACCCATGCTAGAGGCTAGGAACTTGCTAAAATCAGTCACTATCCCAAGCTCCTATGTAAAACAAGTTATTCAAGAGTTTTTCTGCAACATAGATGAAGATTTTGTGAATCCTGCTGCTGCAATTTTTGAAAAAGTGTTTGTCAGAGGAAAATTATACACATTTTCCTCCACAGCTGTTAATAAGTTCTTGGGATTAGATGATGATCAGGATGCCTTGGTTAGTGATGTCACTATGTGGAAGGAAATCACCCACGGAGTTAGAAAAATTCAACATCCCTCCAGCAAAGTCCCCTCATCCATCTTGAACAGTTCTTACTCTATCTTGCTTAGAGTTGCTGCATGTCACTGGCTAGCCACCTCCCACACCAACACAGTGACAAAAGCCATGGGGATGTTACTATATAAGATCAAGAACAATGTTTCTGTTAATCTTGGAAAGTTAATAGTTGCTCAAATTGCTGAATTTGGGAAGCACAACTATAAGCAAAATGACAATGGTCTGCCCTTTCTTGTGCTAATATTTCAGATGCTTGTCTCACAGGGTTTTACCAAAAAGGATGCTGAAAAAGAAGAGCCACTGGAACCACTGCTGCAGATAGACAACCGCCATTTTGAGGGGAAGCACTTCAATGATATGGTGATAATTGAACAAGCAACTCATGGTATGCAAGGTGTGCACAAGTATCTGGAACACAAGCTGCAACAAAACAAGGAAGCGCTTAGCCTGGTGGTTCAACAGAGGAAAGTCCTTGAGGAAGAACGCAAGAGTCTCTTATGGCTGCAAGAACATGTTGCAGAGAGTGCTCAAACAGCAAGTGCATCATCTCAGGGGGAGAGTACAGAGGAGGAGGAAGATAACACCACAGATTACTCAGCTTGAGTGTACATCTCCTTATAAACTCTCTGCATTTTCAAGATGACTTTATTTTGGTTGGGTTGTTCTGCCCTCTTTCTGGTTTCAAGACATATTGCACTGATGTTTTTGCTATGCCTGGTTTTCTTATTGGATGATTCAAACTTGACTCAGTTTATCAACATATGTGCATGTGCTTGGTTATCTACAAGTCTCATTTCATTATATGTGTGCATCTCTATGACATGGTGTAGGTACATCTTTCAGCTTGAGCTATAGGTTTTCCAGTATGCTTTTGTACCTCTCTTGCTCATGTGTTGAATGTTACTCTTCTCTATTCCCATTTCATTCTTTAAAAATAATAAACCTTGGCTGATTTTTGAACAAAAAAGGGGGAGAAGAGGTTCAACAGGCCAGAGAGTCTAGTGAATTTGTTTTTGTCCAAAAGGATGGCCAAAGGGGGAGATTGTTGGGTATTTGGGTTAGTTACTCAGGGGGAGAGCTAGAGTTAGTGTTTATTTTGTTTATTCTTTGTTGGCCTGTTAGGCGTGTCGTAGCACCTACAAATTAATTTATTATTTTCCTTAACTCTTAACCCCCTTTATGAATTAAAATTCATTAAAACATATAGATAGGGCAAGTAAGGGTCGATCCCACGAAGAAAGATACTTTTTAGGCTATGAAAATCAATTTACTTTGTCACTTTTATTGAATAAAAACTAACGAAAATCTAAAACTAAAACTAAGAGATATGAGGGGTTTGAATGATAATTCTAAAAAGATAAAAATGCAAATAAAATAAAGATAAGGATAACAGATAAGAGATACGAAATGAAACCACAGCAGCAACTCGAACTCGGAAGACACTCAGGGAGAAACAAACACACAAAAATAATCACACAATAAACTTTATAAAAACGTAGACAATAATAATTAACTTAAACCATTTTGAAAATACTTATAGTTTTTAATAGAAAATAAACTGAACAAATCTGATTAATCAATTAATTATGTCTTAATCCTGAAACTAAACTGCTAATTAAACTCAGGGTTAAGCTGAAGAAGAGATCCACCTGTGGTTCTTCCCTATTCTCCCTAATATAGCCTATGTTAAGACCTGCCCTAACTCTAGACCCTACTATTCTTAACAACCCAAGGACCTGCCCCCAGATTTAATTAAAAATAGAGCATTAAGTTCTTTGGAAAACATCACTTAACAACTATGCAGTAGACTATATCTATTTAACATAGCCAGTTTGAAAACTCTGATTAATAAAAACCAGGTGGGAGCCAATTAAGTATTAACCAGGTGACACTTGTGTTTTGAAAATCTCAGCTATAAACGTACTCAAGATCTTAAAACTGTCAATTGGAATTAGAGTTTAGGCGGCCGTCCTAAATTGATCTAATCCAAGTTTAAACAAAGACCTGTTTTCAAACACCTTTTTGAGTTTAGATTTGACAGTAGCACAAAGGCTAAAATACCATCAAAGTCAAATTAATCCAACAAAAATGACCAAATCAAAGTTTCAATCTTTTTATCAAATAATTTGGGCTAAGAAGGTTTTATAATTTTAGAGACAATAATAAATCAATAAATCATATTTGAACAATTCAATACTAACACACAAACAATTCAACACTTATAATATAACTTAAACATTCAACAAACATGGAATTGAAAATAAACATATTTAATACTGACAATCAAATTCAGAAACTTATAAATTGGAAAGTCTTAATTAAAGAATGAAATTAAAAAGGAGAAAATTGCTCCCTGGTAGTTCTTCGTACGGTGCTGCACGCTAGAGTCAAGCCCCAAGCCGTCGCCGGAATGTTGTCATCGGACTCCAGTCGCCGTCGCCGCTGCGCAACTGCCGTCGCCGGACCTAGGGTCGGAACCCTAGGCCGGGCCTTCTCTCCCGTGCTCTGCTCTCGTGACTGCTCTCTCGTCTCTATCCGTCCCTTTTATAGATGTGAATAATGAGTATTTGTTTTCAATTGGGAGAAGGTATTTTGAGATGGTTGAGTTCAATTGGGTTGTTTCTCATTCTTCCGCCAGTAGCTTGAGTTGTGAGAGGAGAGGGAGTCTTTTTTCCTTCTTCTCTGTTTGCTTCCCATTTCTTTTATTCATTCTTTATTTTGATTTTCTTTGTCACTTGGCACTTTAGTAGTTGGGTCAAAAGAGTAATGGACCAATTGGATTTTTGGGCTCCACATATCCATCTTCATCATCTTCCTTAGCTTTGAATTCCAAAATATATATCTAAAAAGGTTGTGTCAAGGAAAATAATGCTCCAAAAACAATAAAATATAAATATACTTAAAATCATGGATTTTATAAATAAAATATAAACAATAGCCGAAAGTGCTAAATTTAACAAAATATGTTTATTTAAGTATAAATTGCATATAAGACATCTTAAAAGTACTAAGAAATGAAGGAATAAAATATGACATTTTGTGACTCAACATGGCCTTATCCCTGTGACAAAAACAAATAAGTAGGAATGTTTGTATTTATTACGTAATAGCTGATTGAGTGTAGAGTCCTGCCATGTCATGCATGTGGTTTTCTTCTACGAGCTGGAGAAGATTTCCTGGAGCGGGATTCCTACGAAGCTGAAATAGAGACCCACGCAGTCTAGGAATGGGAGTTGCCGAAGAGTTCAAGTGTGGTTGTAACTAGGGTTCTCATATGTCCATATATATATATACATGACCTCACGTTGATGAAGTGTGAGAGAGAGAGATCACAAATTCCATGAATAGATTGAGAGAGCCAAAAACCCTAGCTGCAAAAAGGAGATCAGAAGGGAACCATGCTTGGGTCCCTCTGATATACAGTGCTGTGGTGAGCACAAGGAGTTCGTGACCTGTTCACAGTTCGTATCATAAATTCAGATTCGGTTTTGATGAAAACCGCATCCAGCTGGTGAACTAGGAAGGGCTGGAGAAAGGGCTGATAGCATGTCCAATAACAGAAGTTGTCAAGGTTGGTGTAATATGTCATTAGGAGAAACACTAACAGAGTTATGTGTTTAAGTCATCTGTAGTAGATTAGTTCAATCCACTAACTGGTACCTATAGTGGTTGAAGTTGTAATCTTTGCAGTGATTTAGTGGAAGAGCTATTACACGGACGTGGGCCCCGCAGAGTAGGAGAATTGCTCCGAACTGCGTAAACAATTCTTGTGTTTGGTTTACTGCTTTATATCTTTTAAGTTTTGTGTGACTGGTTGTGATAGAGAAAGTGTTTCAGCACTTTGTGTGTCTCAGCAAACTAAGCGTGTGCGTGATTGGCTTAAATTGTTCGTAGAGAGTAATTCTTTTGAGGTTGTGAATCTCTACAACAATTTCAAAAATACCTTTGATGTAATGTGTAAAAGTAAGATGTGATATATAGATTATTAGTAAAAAGGTATGATGTGATAGATAGAGTATGAAAAAGTAAGGGGTAAAAGGGGTTTTTTAAGGGAAAAGAGAAGTTTATTTGGGGACAAACAAAAAACGAAAGAGGAAGTTTTTTTAGGTACGGAGGGAGTATATATATATATATATATATATATATATATATATATATATATATATATCTTCATTTCTTAAAATCACTAGTTTACTAAAATGTATAATTTGTAACAAGGAACTACTCTATATCTGATGGATTGCAGCGCATTAAATGGAAATAAATTAATTTAATGCAAGGTGTGTGTATATTGCTCGCATTTACTTAGGTTATTCATTAAGTTAAATTTTGATTTTAGAAATTGAAATAGTTAAAACAACCGTAATTGCTTTCTATATATTTCCATTAATTACAAAGATAATCATATCTTCTATATATAATTAATTAATATCGTATATATGCATGGTAAGTCATGCATGAGAAGCATTAAATAGTACGGAGGACTATATATACTCCGGTAATATATACTCTCGGTATCTTTAGCCCTTCAATTCATACATCACCTGCACAATTCAAGGTATGTAATAAGAGAGATTTTAGGAGTGGTTTCTTATTTTATGAAATGCCTCAAAACATGAAAAATGTTGTTTTCATTTTCTCGTTTGACGTCAGCGTTAGATATTAGTATTAGCATTTTGAAAAGACTATCTGACGATAGCCTTTGTGCCTGTTTGAAAATAGCATTAGTGATTAGCGTTAGCGTTTTGAAAAGACTATCTACGAGCAGCGTTTAGTGTTAGCGTTTTCAAATTAATCTGCACCGTTAAAATTTTATCTAAAATGTTAACATTAATCTCTAGCGTTATTCCCAAACAAGCCCTTTAGCGTTAATGTTTTTCAAAATTAATTTGTAGTATTTAAATTTTATCAAAATCCTAACGTTAATCCAAAATGATGTTTTCAAGATTGTTCGTACTTTTTTGTTTTTGAAATATCTTCTCTTAAATACTTGATATATTTCTATAACCAAATCATTTTTGTTGCAACATATAGTAGTAGTAGTGGTGAATCTGGGGTAACAAATAACCATAATTGATAGATGGGGGTAACAAAAGTTAATGGGGGCATCCCAATTTTTTAGTAGAAAACAAATAACCAGAATTTATGTTTTAATTTTTAAAGGAATTGGGGTAGTAATTAAAAAAGTTATAATTTTTATGTTTTTATTTAAATTGAGTATTGTGCATTATATATATTACATACAGAGTATATATTATTGTTTGTGAGCAAACAAAAACCTTTGTGGCATTGTGTTTTTCTAACTTGATCATTAATTTATGTGTGTAGGTTGGCTATTAGTCATGGAGCTATCTATGAGAGGAAAAGACGTTTTATGTGTTTTATACACATTCCTTGCACTCATTGCCACGGGTACATGGTTTTAAATAATACGGAGTAAATATTTTTATTGGTCTATGTATGTATGTATGTAGGTATGTCTATATATATTTATAAGATAATTTCTAAATTTTCATTTAAAGCAAAATAGTATTGATACATTAAATTTTTAAATTAATTATATATGTATAATTAATTAATTATAGTTATTAATAGTCACAATATTGTATTGATTGTCATGAAAAAGTTAAAAATAAATCTTTTAAAAACAAGGAATATAAGATTTTACGATTGAGAATATATATGACGATAATATAATTTAGAGAAATTTAATATAATACAAAACTACAAATTTGGATAGCTTAACAATACTCCTAGTATAGAATTATGTAGGGTTATGACTTATGGTTTGACTAATTCTATATTTGTCCACGCACCAATTCCTTGCAAATTAAAGTGATACACAGTACGTACGTCAGTACTCCGTACCAATTTTAATCAAGAAAATTTGTTGAGTTATATTTCTTTTTTTATACTTCTTAACATTAATTAATTGTTGACATATTTCTTTTTTTTTTTTTTGCAAAATTAAATAATTAATGGTTAAAATTAATAATGTATGTACTTCCCCAGGGTTCCAAGTCTTTGCGGAGGACTATGATTACAGCTTCCATAATGAGGTAATAACTAAGTCCCTAATTAAAAATTCGGCAAATACTTTGTGAAAATGTATACGGAGTAAGTATATAGCTAGGGAGTACTTTGGAGGACTATAGTTTGTGGACTTTTTCTGAGCCAATTAATAAATTAATGTTATGTGAGTAAGTCTATATATTAGACGAGGACCTTAGGATTACAAAATCAATACCCAATTATTTAGGCACCTCCACGCTATTTAAAGAACAATGTCTAATCATTTCCTTTTTTTAAATTTCATTAATCCATTGATAAAATAAGTGACTTATTTATTAAGTGTTTTGGATTTAGTTTTTAAATATATAATTTTTTCAGATGTTAGCTTAATTTTAGAATACTTGGATTGAAAAAAAATAATCAACATAACCATTGTGTGTAATCCGAAATGTCCAAATTATTTAGAGAAGCAAAGAGTACATTTGAGAGATGACTTAGCTTCTATATTATTTAATTATAACTTCAACAGTGTTTGGAAAATCCTTTAAAACCTCAATACAATGGAGGGATGGTCGTAAACCCAGAATTCAACTATGGACTGAATGGCTGGTTAAGTTTCGGAGGCAATAATGTAAATCTAACCAAAGGAACATCAAGGCAAGGAAACAACTTCATTATTGCTTCTAATAGAAAAGCCCCATATAATGGCTTCTCTCAAAAGATTGATTTGAAGAAGGGCCATCACTACACAATTTCAGGTATATATATTTAAATTTAGATTTAATCTAATTTTTGGGTACTTTATACATGCTGATTATTGTTAAAGTCATATCCCACCTATTTTACTATTATTATTATTATTATTATTATTATTATTATTATTATTATTATTAATTTGTAGGTTGGATACAAATAAGCGATGGTATTGAAAGTGATATATCAGTCTTGTTCAAAACACCAAGTGGCTATGAGTATGTAGCTTGGGTCATTGCTCGGTCGGGTTGTTGGTCCATGTTTAAGGGTGGGTTTGTTGCTAATGATTCAGATACATTCGAGTTATATTTTCAGGTATATTTTTTTCAATTTAAACACTTCTAAAACTATCAAAAGTAGTCCACCCATTTTGTATTTATAAAAAAACCAATTCACAATTTTAAAATCAAGGTTTAAACTAATTTTTACTCGTATATTCTTTGACTATTCCCACAGAGTAACAATACTCAAACAGAGATATGGGCTGATAGCATATCAGTAAAGGAATTCACTCCCCAAGAATGGACTGCTCATCAAGTTAAGAGCATTGAGAAGGTAATTGCCTTATTATAGAATAGTTACTGAAATTTGTGTCAAAAGCATATCTATACCTATAGCACATTATTAGTAAAATGAACACACACACACACATACATGCACACACACACACATTAAATTATTATTTTTATAAAGAAATAAAACTTTATATTTGTGTGAACAGTGGGGTTCTAGTGACACCCATTTTTGGCGATGCCACTGTCATTTTGGAGTACTTCCGGTACTCCGTTCGCAAAATTGACGGTTCTTACCCCCTAGCCCACCCCTTAAATCCTCCACCCTATCCCCGCATTGCATAATAGCCACACATTTTGTGGGGGCTTACGGTGGGGGGTTCAGGGGGTAGGTTACGGGAGTAGGAACCGTCAATTTTGCGAACGAAGTACCAGTAGTGCTCCAAAATGACAGTGCCACCGGAGTGTCAGCGTACTACGTTGTCACTAGAACCCCATCGAGTCAAATTATAATTATATTGATTGAAAATGATGCATGTATAGGTAAGGAAATCAAAGGTGGGGATTCAAGTAGTGGATGGGGAAGGGAACCCACTGGCGAATGCGACAGTGACCCTAGTGAAGGGCAGGCCCAACTTCCCATTGGGCTGCGCCATCAACAAAAACATCCTAAACAACAACGCCTACCAGGCCTGGTTCTTCTCCCGGTTCAAGTACACCGTCTTCGAGGACGAGATGAAATGGTACACCAACGAGCCCTCCCAGGGCCGCGAGGACTACTCCGTCTCCGACGCCATGCTCCAGCTCCTCCGCACCCGCGGCGGCGGCGTCTCCGTCCGCGGCCACAACGTCTTCTGGGACGACCCCAGATTCCAGCCCTCCTGGGTCCCCAATCTCCCCCCCGCCCAGCTCTCCGCCGCCGCCTCCAGAAGGATCGGCTCCGTCGTCAAGAAATACGCCGGACAGGTCATCCACTGGGACGTGGTCAACGAGAACCTCCACTTCAATTTCTTCGAGGGGAAGCTCGGACCGGACGCCTCCGCGGTTTATTACCGGCTCGCCAGCGGTTTGGACCGCAAAGCGACGCCGTTTCTGAACGACTATAATACGATTGAGCATAAGGAGGACTCGGCTTCGTCCCCGGCCAAGTACCTTGCCAAGATCTCGCAGCTTCGGGCCCAGAGGTATAATGGGCCTCTGGGGATTGGGCTGGAGGCCCATTTCGATGTCCCGGACTTGGCTTACGTCCGGTCCGCTATCGATACGCTTGCCAGCGCGAAGCTGCCCATTTGGATCACGGAGTTGGACGTTTCGCCGCGGCCCAACCAGGCCCAGATACTGGGACAGGTACTAAACGAGGTCGTTTCGCATCCGGCGGTGCAGGGCGTCGTGATATGGTCGGCGTGGAAACCGGGCGGGTGTTACAAAATGTGTTTGACCGACAACAGTTTCAAGAACCTGCCCACCGGAGACGTCGTCGACGGCGTCCTGAGAGCAATGAGCAGCCAGGGTTTGGCCGGCACCACCGCCGCCGACGGCTACTTTGAGGCTTCGCTCTTTCACGGCGATTACCAGGTGATGGTGGAGCACCCGTCTCTGGAGAAACCAACGGTGCATCGGCTGGAGGTGGCGCCGACGGACGCCGCCGCGGAGACCCAAAGGATGATTAACTTCAAATTATCTGTCCCTGTCTAGCTGATCTGATGGATGGTCGACGATGATCTTCATTCATATTGTTTTATTTTACTTAAGCCTGATTAGTTTTTAAATATAGTTCATAGGTCTTCATATATAGATGTCTTTCATTTTCACAAGAATAATTGTTCGAATGATGAGTTTAGATGAAAGAGATTGAGTTTAAAGATGTAGTTTGATTTCAATGGCAAATTGGCAATGTCTAATTTCAAGGGATTGAGTTTATGCTCTTTTTATAATTTTTTTATATTTCATTAGTTTATATATTTCCCTATTATCATTTCACTTCATCTCAAAATCGTGAGAAAAATATTGAAAATAAAAAAAACGTACTTTTAATTTATATTACATATTAGTAAAATGAAATAAAATTTTGAAAATTGTTAACAAGATAAATTGAATAAAATCATTTTTATAATAATATATATTATGATTTTTTTAATTAAAACTTAAAGATGTAGTATGTTGTTTAAATTCGATTAGAGAAAAAATCCTTTATATATATAAAGCAGAGTCGGAGCTGCAGGAGCGCGACATTTGGCAAAGTTGAGGAGTGACATTTGGCAAAGTTGAGGAGTGACATGTCGCAAATTGAGGTGGCAAGAGAATTAAATGAAAAAAAAGCACACGACCCATAAAGTAAGATTTCCACCGCCGTAAAAAACCCGAACTTTTCCTCATCTCAGATGAATGCACCATTCCTTTGCAATTAGAACATGATTTGTGGCGATTCAATTATTGTTTCCATATATCATGTATTCTTTCCTTAGTTTAATTTATGCTACGGCTTCAATTGATAATTTTTATTAATCTGAACATTGCCAAATTCTTAGGCTTCAATTGATAATTTATGCTACGCCAATAAAAGGGTATTAATACCGTAAATGTTTAAAAAAAAAAATAGAATCAAAATTTGTTTGGAAAGAAAAAAATTTTGTTTCAGAAATAAAAAAATTAAAATTTTCATTTAATTTTTTTTTGCATGGAGGTGTTCAAAACCACACTAATACAAGATGTCGCAGGGTAGTATTTATCAAAAAAGAAAGCTTCTGAAGTCAACATAAACTCTTGGCCCTCTTTCTCTCTTTCTCTTTCTCTTTCATTTAAAAATTTTAAATTTTTGTTTCAAGAGATGTGATGCCATTAAATTTGGTAATTGTGATGTTTACATGGTAAGTAATAAAAGGCTATTAATTTTCTTTCCAATAATATTTTATTACGTAAATGTCAGATATTGGAAAATGACTTTTGTTTTAGTGCTGTTTAGTGCAGATATGAAAAATGAAAAATTTGAAAAATTATATTGGGAAAAAGTTTGAAAAATGAAACTTTTGAAAATATGAAAATTATTCTTTTTTTAAGGATAGAGCACTATTGGTACCAACTCTCGAAGTAGTTGAAATGATAAACGAATTTGTTCTGTCCCTCATTCTTGGTGATGAAAAGGAGTACTTGAGTTCTGATTCTTCCTGCCAAGTAGAAGCAGATGTAGGTATTGATGGCGATTGGATAACAGTTGAGTTTTTGAACGAAATCAAATGTTCGGGAATCTCAAACTACAAAATAGTCTTGAAAACAGAGGTACCGATTATGCTATTGAAGAACTTTGACCAAATATCTGGATTGTGTAATCGGACAAGATTAATCGTTCAAGAGCTGTGAAATAATGTTATCGGTGCAATTGTGGTTTCGGGAAATCGAGATGGGGAAAAAGTTTACATCCCTAGAATGAATTTGGTACCATTTGATCCAGAGCTACCCTTGAAGTTCCAAAGAAGACAATTCTTGATCGCCTCATGTTTTGCTATGACTATCAACAAAAGTGAAGGTCAAACATTATCATTTGTGGGATTATTTTTAACCAAGTCAGTGTTCACACATGGTCAACTATATTTTTGCCATTTCACGAGTGAAGACAAATACATGACTAAAAGCATTAGTTCTAGATGACAATGAAAATCCTTGCAACCATACCAAAAATATTGTATACCCTGAAGTCTTTCAGAAAATTTGGTATTAAAATAAACATTGTTAACTCTATATTCTGTTCCTCGAATATTATTTATTTTACTTTGGCCTTTTTCATTTGTAGTATTAAAAATTATGTGAGCAATATATTTTCTTTATTCTGAAAAATAAATTTCATTGAAATAATTCAAAATCGACATAAATTTCTTTTGTCCCCGTGCACGGCACGGGTCAGAATACTAGTAAATATTATAGACCACAATTATTAACTGTGTCAAAATTACCCACTTTGTATATTTTCGTTGCTAATTTAATAAAACAATATTTTGTATACTAAATTCATCTTTAATTTCATAAATCTCTTAGTATAATTTATTGAATATATCACTTTAATTTTTCAATTACACACTAATTTTATATGTAATATTCTCGAGATCCTAAATCTATCTTTTCAGTTAGAGTTTAATTTGCAAAGTTAAACTTTATTAATTTTTTATTTTTATTTTTTTAATTGATAAACTACTCCTATAGTCATTTCACTTCTAATTTTATTAAAATTTTGACACAATTTTTAAAATATATATATATTTTATTTTTTATTTTTATACATATAACCCACAAAATTAAATTAAAATTAAAGTTGATTAAAGTTAAAGGAAAAATTAATTTGAGAAAAAACCAATGGAAAACAGAGTTAATTACCAACATATGTAGAAAAGAAAATATCCATTCCTGACAGTGTAAGTCAGTAGTTTTTTTCCTGACACTGCACAACGGATTTGGCTACTCCGTTTCTACTCGAAAATTTTTAACGAAACGGAGTAGCCAAATCTGTTTTAGGGTTTTATTTATCAAATTGGGGTTCGATAATCAATGGATCGAACTCATCATGATGTGTGTCATTACTGTCAGATATAGAGTGCAGGTCAATGGTGACTTTACAGACTTCATTATTCCCTCTAGGGGTCTTCGACAGGGGGATCCATTAAACCCCTATCTCTTTATTTTATGTGCTGAAGGGCTATCCTTTCTCTTACAGGAGGCGGAACAGAGGGGAACAATGCATGGTATTCGAGTGTCATGTGGTGCTCCTCCCATCAATCACCTTCTCTTTGCCGATGATAGCCTAATTCTTTTCAAAGCCACAATGGAGGAAGCAGGGGAGGTGCTTCGGATACTCTCTGAGTATGAACGTCTCTCTGGCCAGGTTGTTAATTTTCATAAATCCAGTATTTGTTTCAGCAAGAATACTCATTTTCAAGCCCGCAACTGGCTCACAAGTTTTTTTTGGGGTGGTTGAAGCGGAGGACTTTGGGAAGTATCTTGGGTTGCCTTCTTTCATTGGGCGCAATAAAATAGCTATTTTTTCATATATTTTGGATAAGATCCGTCAAAGACTTTCACTATGGAAGAGGAAGACGCTTTCTAAGGCAGGTAAGGAGGTTTTACTCAAGACGATTGCACAGTCGATACCCCTCCCCCAATCTACTTGCACTGATATTGAGAGGTTAATGAACGGCTTTTGGTGGGACGGTAAGGGAACTAACAATCGTGGCATTCGTTGGATGTCGTGGGAACGAATGACTATCCCAAAGAAGTTTGGGGGATTGGGCTTTCGGAATATTTGGATGTTCAGTGTTGCTATGTTGGGTAAACAAGGCTGGCGCTTTCTGACCAAACCCAGCTCGCTAGTGGCAAGAGTTTTCAAGGCCCGATACTTTCCTAACAACTCGTTTTTGGAGGCCGAATTGGGGAGACAGCCCAGCTACTGTTGGAAAAGTATTCTTTCAGCCCAAGAAATTCTTCGAAGCGGTATTCGACGTCGTATTGGCGATGGACGAGA